GGACTGGGCTACCCGGATATTGAAATTGACAACAACTTTTCAGACGATGACCACAGAAGCGTCTTGTCAGCCGAAACAAACTCGTCGACGCTGCGTTCTTGTGTTATCACGGAGAACAGCAAATGGAAATCGGTACGGACGGCGTTATTGAAGGAGCGGCCCACTAGAGGACGTTACTATCGGGAGGAAGTCGACAGAAGCAAGAGGCTCCGCGACGTCGCATTTGCTCGGAATGTGTCGAAACTATCAAATGATCCGATGTCCTCGTACAGAAAAACGCCAACTCGAGAAAAAGTAATGGAAGACATGACTAAACACATGAACGTGTTAAGCCAGAAAAACGGCTTGAACAATGTAGAAAACGTTTCACGGTCTAAGGCACCTGTGAGAATGTGTTATATACAGTACGATACTTGGTTGCACCAGCGGAATAGTGAGCCAGAAGCTCGGCGAAAGCACTTACTTTTACAAAAGGCGGGGAAAAAAGGTATATTGGCGAAGACCGACATTGTCGTCGTCGATAACATGTCGAGTGACGTAGAACGTGAAAGCTCGTCACCGCATTTAAAATCAGGCGAAACAGAAGACAGTCTCGCGGGTAAAGGAAATTTAAATGAAACATTTGACGTTAACAATCTTGTTCAAACGGGAAACCCGGAGAGCACAGTTGATAAAATCGCGGTAGATAATAGCAATGATGAAAGCGCTAGTGACGTCACGGTTCCACAGGAGTCCATCGTGACGTCAAGGAGTGTTTCAGAGATCGAGAAAACGGAACGTGGAAGCCATGTCAGTGCTGATAAAAGTTTGGACACAATAGAGGGGGAAAGTGATGACGTCACTACTGCACGTAACGAGAGCGACTATAACTTGAATTGCCGCCAAGACAGAGGCGGTGGTATTCCAAGAGGGTCGTGGACCCCTATCGAAACTGTAAGCAAATCGAACCAAAACGAATCATATCATTTCAACGCAAAGGAACTTATGAGAACAAGCCGGTGTATTATTATTGTGAATGGCAGAGAGGAAGATTTCAGTTACGATAATTACAAATTCAAGGGAAGACGGCAAAACAACGCAACGGCGGTGACAACACAACATCGTCGACCGAAAACTGAACCTGATGTTGACACAAGCAGAAAAGGTAATTGTTTATTAAAGCGGGAGGGTCGTCACCTGCGCACGCGCCGGAATTGGGTCCCAAGCGACGATAACAACACACACTAAAAACGCAAAGGCTCATGGGTTGACACTTGTCTGTAAACAATGACACGCTATGGCAATCTAACGCATGCGCAGGTGACGAATCCCCCGCTTTAATCATGGTCGCTACAAACTTTAAAAATGCAGTTTTGCCGAAAAAACAATATCTATTTTTTAATATTGCTGTTCGACGATACTTCATACCGTAACGTAAAAATCGGACTACGGTTTTAATTATCATAAACTAAATATGTTGCATTTGCAGGACACACACTGTATTCGTTATATGAAAATTCAAAACCACTAATACGCATGTGTAGTGATTGTTTTGTGTACGTACCAAGATAACCACCGCACATGCGTATTATATTGAATGGCGTTATGACATATCACAGTATTCATCGAACATACAGTATTAAAAAACAATACATGTTTTCGTCCGTATTGCGTTACGGTATTTTGTTTATAAAGCAAAGTAGAGATACGTTTAAGTTGTGTTCATGGTAACACCGATTTTTCTGGCGGTCATTTTGAACACGGGAGAACAAATTAATCTCAAACTGCTACTTAAATTTAAAGGGCGGTAGTCGTCGCACCACGATATATAGGTCTCATATAAACAGAAAAGGCGACTTTGATCAACGAGTACAAACTGGGACATTACCAAGCTATAATTAGGCATTTTTTGGGTGATTGGGTGTATTGAAGGAGTCACCGGCGGTAATCAGTGAATGTCGCGCCCAGGGAAACAACATACTTGTGCTTCCTATTAGAAGAGCGCAATGGGTTGAGGGAAAATCAATGTTTATCAACACAAATGTTGCACATGCGCACCGCGACGACCACCGCCCTTTAATCCTGATTTGTTCTTCTGTAAAATGTCAGACCTATCAGGCCTTGCAATCAAATTCGTGGAATTATAGCCTCCTTAATATTAATAATAATAATTCTTTCTTTTTTCCAGACTATTATAAAGTGCAGCCACTTGGTGTATATTACAATTTCCGTACAAGAATCAGGCTCGTTCGCAGCCAGCCACACCTAGGACATCACTGAGACAATACCAACCAATTATTAAGCCACAGATACCCATAGTGAAAACATACACCAGAACCACCCTCGTCCCAAACGTACAAATGCTGTCATGGAAAAAGAGTAACAATATTACATTTAATCGCGGATCTGGCAGAAAATATGCATTACCTTCGATAGCAAACTAGAGATTTGTAAGCGACAAGGGTGATCGACAGATACCGCAGTTATTACATCCGTGACCTTTCTTGTAGGCCGCGCCCTCTGGCGACGAAATACCGTGACGGCGTTTCGAAGGCCGTTTTTGGAATGTAAAGTAAACTTGCACGCGTGATATTGTGCTTGGGGGTGTGCCAATCGACGTGATAAAATTAAGATTCTCTTTTTACCGAACTCAACAGACTGACATGTTTGCACCATGAAAAGGGCAGACCTTGTGCTATCAGAGTCCTCCCCCCAGTCTCACTGTGACTACTTCCGGAAGAGTGGTCTATAGCTTAAAAAGATGGAAAGAAGACCCTTCGTCGCTTATATATTGTGATCTTTGCAGATTACTTATGTTTATGCTGACGCTGGTTTGTTCATGTGTATGTTTGTCCGTAAGCAGGGTATTTCTAACAGTTTAAAGCGCGGTAGTCGTCGCGCTGCGCATGTGTGACATTTGTGTTGATAAACATTGCTTTTCCCACAATCCAATGTGCTCTTCAAATGGAAATCACAAGTATGAGGTTTGACCTGGGCACGACTTGCACTGATTACCGGTGGTGACTCCTTCGATACCTACCAATCACCTAAAATTACCTAATTAAAGCTTGGAAACGTGTCAGTTTGTACTCGCTGACCATCTCAACAGTCAAAGTCGCCATCTTTGTTTATATGAGACCCATATATCTGGCGCATGCGTGGCGCGACGACTACCGCGCTTTAAGATTTCCGCCTTTCAGACAACGACATACTGTAGCGGACATTGATACAGTATGATGTTAGAAAAGAATAACTATTTTTGACTGTGGTAGAAGTTTTCGCTCTAAGAGAGCCTTCTAGTTTTGTTTTGATGCATACTCGTCCATCAGTAAGACATAATAAGGACTTTACATAGCACATTTTACGTTGCAAGATCACTCCATCAATAGAGGGCGATAGTAATCATTTGAGTGTATTTGTAATCAAGTATCTATGTACATTCCACTTTTTGGGAAACAATATTTTATACAAGAATTTCAGTTTTAATAATTTTACCTCTGAGTTGACGAAAGTTAAAAAGAAACTGGATCGGTCAATTGTCCTAATTTATATGGTGTTTAGTTAAAGGACGTCATATTCGACATGGGACTCATAGCGATGTGCACAATGCGTGTTTGTTTACATGAAATACGAACACGCGCTGTGACTACCCTTTGACAGCACTCACTTGTTTTCACTCACACAACACAATACAGAGGTAATGGCGGTAGGAAGTTACTTGAAAAAAAGGGCTGACTATCAATTCGATTATATTACTATCCGTTTATAAATATGCGTTCATAGTTCCCGTAACTATACATATTTCAACAACTTGAGGGACATTTGTAAGAATATGATTTATTATTTAATATTAACAAAACATGATAAAAAATAATCTTAATATTATCATAATTTACTCCATATTTTGTATCTTTATATATACAGCTGTCAATTGAATGTGAACAAATTAAGTTATATTTGTAAATAAAATTAACAACTATATAATTTGAAACGAAATCCTCTAAAGTTTTTTTTTTTATGTTTGAGAATGTATGTGACTTTCTGTAAGCCTGTTCTATGGGGGGAAATTGTGCACCAGCTGTGTAATAATATTTCAGCAATAATTCCTGGTAGGTTCGGGTTATCGAATCCGTGTATCCGTTCGTCTTACGAAACAACGATGTATTGCTAGTATTAGTGCACGGTGACTGATTGCATGTCGTCGTCGATATGAACTGTGTATGATCGACTTGTTCTTGAAAGCGTAAGCCACAAGTAATGCTTTAATATTCATCCTTCTAATAGGTAGCTAATATTTCAGATTATATTCGCTATGTGAATCTATATCCGCCAACACGCTGCTAATATAATACTGGGCTTATGTTTTGTTTTTTTACACTACGACGCAGCATAGGCCACAAATAACATTATGTGGGTGTGTCGTCTTTCCGATCTTGTATTTTTTTAATTTTGGTGTAGAATGGATGGGGTATAGGTTTGCTGGCCTGGGCCACCTAATCATGTTTGTTGATCTTGTATAGATATATGCAGATATGCAGATGACATGGCTCTCATTTCCACTACATCAGATGGACTTCAACAAGCTTTGAATGAACTTGAACAATATTTTAAAAACTTAAAATAAACATATCTAAAACTGAAATTGCTATTTTCAATAAATCACCACTGCATAAAAGATACTTTTTTACTATTGGCAACCAATGCATTAAATGTGATAAGCAGTATATTTATTTAGGGATTATTTTCAGATTAAATGGTAATTTCAATGAGGCAACAGCCAATATAGCAGAGAAAGCTGGAAAAGCACTTTTTGCTATGAACAAAATACTATAGGATAATAAAAATATTAAACTTTCTTTACATTTATTTAACGTTTGTATAAAACCCATCCTTCTATATGGATCAGAGGTATGGGGACAAAGTTTCATCAACAACAACAAATGGGAAAAAACATGATAGAAACAATTCATTTGAAGTTTTGTAAACAAATCTTGCAAATTATCAGGACCTCATGTAATCTAGCAGCAAGAGCAGAATTGGGGCAATATCCTCTTTTAATTGAAATCAAAAAACAAATAATAAAATATTGGCTGCATATTGTAGAATTACCAGATGATAATCTAACTAAACAAGCATTCTATGAACAGAAAAAGTCATCTATATCAAATACTTGGTTCATTAATCTTAAAACCATATTACAGGAAGCATCATTTTCTTCTGAAAAGAAAAATCCTCAAAACACAAACTGCAACAATTTGTAAAATGTTACAATCAAATTTACAAAGCAGGTATGTGAACAAGTGGAGAACTGCTATATCAAATGAAAATTCTAAACTCAGAACATATTCAAAATGTAAAACAAAGTACAATTTATTTACTTAATTTGAATGATGAAAATAGAAAAATGTTCACTAAATTCAGGGTTAGCAACGTTACCATAGCTTAGCTATTGAAAAAGGCAGACATTCTATCCCTAAAGTACCAATAAATAGCACTCTTTGTCAATTTTGTAATAATTGCATTGAAGATGAGATCCATTTCCTTTTAGACTGTCAAAAATATGAACAGCAGAGATCTCAACTGTTACATAAAATTAAAGTCCCGGATGACAATAATATTTCTTGTTTCACATATTTACTTTCACATGAAGATAAATTAGTTCAACAAGAGATATCAAACTTTATTTTAGCTGCGACCAAAATTAGAGATTAGATTTCTTTAATAATTTATTTGTGTGTTTATTTTTGATACATATTTATTTATTTGTGATTTTTTAAGTACATTCATTCTAGTTATTTTCAAAATATTATCTTGTTAACAAAAAATTCTTTATTGTTGCAAACACCCTATGTAACCTACTCTTTTTTACACGGGAACAATACAGTTCATTCATTCATGTTGATCTTGTATGGGTGCCAAGTTAAGGTATAGTTTCGTTATAGTTCAACGAGTTTTATAATTAGTTTTTCTAAATGTGTGAGTGGTGGAGTCGAGGGCTGAGTGAGTATTTACGAATGGACTCGGGTCAAATACAACGAATTCAAGCATCATTGTTCTATGTAATGTGAGTCCAACAATGCATTGTGTGTTCACTGCGTGTTAGAGTGGATGCAGTTATTTTTGGTCTATAGTGGAGTCTATAAGTTTTTAGGTGTAAATGATCTATACTCGGGTATTGACTCGGTATTCGGTAAGGGCTCACGCCCATGCAGAACTTGAAGCTCAGTAACCCCAGGGTTTACACGCAGATTATGATTATTCAGATACAGCTGACGTGTTTTGGTCCCGTTTTAAGTGACATCACAAGTTTGCGCTATACTATTTATAACTGTTGTGTGTCATACATGGGCGTTTAACCAATCAAAACAGCTCTTTTGAAGATGTGACGTTATATGACGTCAGATATTTGGATTTGAAGCTACGCTTTCGTTGTAACTGTGTACGTGTAAAGCCTTTCAGAAAATCTAGTGTGTAAAAATTACAAAAAGATACAGAAATATTGTATCATCAAACTTGGTCATAGTTCATCGGTTTTTTTCTGAAGATAAAATACAATTATGACTGTGAGCAATATCAGTCTGCAGGTTTCATTGTCGCGCGATATTCGCCATCGAGTCCGAGTACGTCACCCGCAACGCGCCATTTTGTCCTAGTATGTTATCACATTCGCCATCTTGTTCATCTAC